GTTAATTGGTGATCTTGCGTTACAATTCGGTTGTCCAGGTTTCTTAGATTCTCTGTGGAATGATGTTCAAGTTTTATTCTAATTCATTTTTATCAAAGGTGGTGTGGCGTCGACGGGCTAGGACTATACAAACAAACATCTTATACGGTTAAAGGATAGAGGATAAAGCATTTGCCGTTGATCAACCCCTTTCTGGGATGCGGCACGCATTCTAGACAATTCCATTTGTACATTCGGAGGGATGGAAGGCTTGGTTGGCCCGGGCGACTCACGACCCAGGATTTGATCCCCGGACCGCTCGCGTGGTAAGCGTGCCACTTGCCACTACACCACTTCCGCCCCATAAAGTTACTTTCTGGAAATAATGAGCTGACTGGTGAAGCGGCGTGCACAGTAAACAGCGTTCGAAAGATAAAAGCGGAGTTAAGCGCCGACTAATCTTTTCTGGAGAGCGCCACGCCTTCTACTTCTATCCGGCATCGTAGTAGCACTGGAGTACAGTACATTTGATTGCCAGGACGGACCGATATAGAAATCAGTGTCTCATCTTCACAGGGGTGCCTGCTGTCAGTTGACTAGTCCACAGCGAAGGAAAGGCTTGGGTGAGCCGGATGGGATTCGATCCCTGGTTTGACACGGATCAGGAGCCCCGTGCGCGGCGTCTCTTTTCGCGGCACCAGCTACGCCCGAAAAAAAAGGACAATGAATACAAACATGTGAGACCCCGGGGACCTGGGCAGCAATAATACGAAGATAGTAGTAGTAATTAGTGTTAATCAAAGTATAAAATAGTATTTTACGGATCACGTCGTGATAGTTTTCACTCGAAGTAATATGTGGCGGTGTCAAGGTGACAATGCAGATGTACAGGGGCAATCCTCTCATATCATTCGATACATGCAATACTTAGCACATTACTCGATATATCGCCTCCGGCTTGGGGAAGGGGGAGAGATAGGGGCGCTATACCTATGGAACGAGAACAAGGGGAGGGAAGGTGGGGGGGGTTGGAGAGACAGTTCAGATAAAGGACAACACTTTCAGCCATGAGTCCGTTTTCGCGTTCTTTAGTGGCGCCTATCCGCCACGTTCTCTTGTATTTCCACTCAAATTCTTGTATAATGAATGCGAGCTGCTTATAGTACGGTGTCAGTAGACGTAGAAATCACTTTACCCTCCAAGCTGGAACCAGTCAACCATATCCGAGCAAAAGAATGGTTGCAATGAGATACGATGTAGGAATGGATCGCTTGCCTTGTGGTGAGAGGCGTCAATTGCCTTCACACCACCTCGGCCTACTTTCGTACTACTAAGTTTAATCCCCCACTTTTGTTTGCACCTGACTTTTGCAGCCATCTGACCCTAGAGTTACCCTATGCTAGTAGTTAACTAACCTCTTTCTCGCCATCCTCTAAAGGAATGTGAAGCACATTATCCATTGCCTGAAATGAGCTGCATTATCAACAGGATAAATATAGGCACAAATGGGAAAGAGTAAGGCAAAAAGCTTTTATACCTTGAGAATTGTGCACATTGACGTGACGACATTATTGTACACAATTGATTTCTTTTCATTAATTTCCTCTTCTGTGAATCCATTGCTGTGAAGAATTCTGCAATCGTTAACAATTAATGAAGGACATCCGCTATGGAGTGATACAGAATTGAATTCCCGAGGGCGGATTTTACGTTGAAAAAATAGGCCTTCGGAAATTGAGTTAGAGATGGCCAGGAGGAAAAAGCGTGAAATGGTCGATAACTTCCAGAAAACTGGACCATTCGTCGTTCCTGAGTGCGCAATGAACAGGACGGTCTCATCGATGTTGCTCTCTTCAACGCTAACGCTCTCTCTCTCTCTCTGCCAAACGGCTAGAAACTCAGACACGAGACGACGCAAGAGAGGGATTTCAGGAGAGGAAGTTCCAGCTCCGAATCCGGTGAGGTTGCGACAACTCAGCACTTCAACACGCCTCACTAGGGCGCCTATCGCCTACAATTTCAATCCAACGACTTCTGGTCAAACCCTCACCCACTGATCGATATGTTCCCTGTGTCGTATCGGTTCATCAGCTGTGCTCTTTCGATTCGGAAATCTTACCCTATCCGCGACTCACAATAGCTCCTTCTTCGCCATCTGCCCGTTAGGTCTGTGTAGACCTTTGCGAATCAGGGACTCGTTACGCGAATCGCTGGTTACGAGCGTCTGCACCCAGAGGATCTGAATGATGTACCACTCATTCGATCCGCTGGTGCAACGGAACATTTCGCATCCTACGTTCGTATTCGATTGCGATTACCATACCGAATCAATCTTGATTTCTGCCCCTATAAATGGGCGACGGAACAAACTTTGCCTTCATCGACAATCGCTTCTCTCTGATCAAGCACGGGAGCTTTTCATATTACACTTTATATGTGAAGACGTAGTTCATGAAAAGTCAATCGAACATACTTGAGAGTCAATCCATCCTCCAAAATCAACAAAAAGAATAGTGGCTACAGGTCGCGATTTGTAAGCCTTTTTTGACTTCTTATTTTCCGCTTCACGTGACTGATGCAGATTTCAACGCTAGTAAAATAATCAAGTACCGCGCCCTTTCAAGTTACCAGGGTAACTGCCTCTGACGGAGTATGAACTACTGTGACAGTCATGCTATCAAAGGAATCTTTCTGAAAAAAGGGTTTGATTCCAATAAGAGGGCATTTTGTGCAGAGTACTCAACAGTTCTGATACCCCACAAGCTCGTTGTCTGTAGCATAGAGAGGGCTACAATAGTAACGCCCATCCATGTAGTTTCCTTTTTGCACTTGTGAACTGCTTCACTCACCTGAGGCCACGAAAATGGGATGACTCTAGTAAATGGGACTATCGCCTGAAATGCCGCTCTTTTGAAATAGGCCAAAATAAACTTGGTACACTGAATTTTGTAACTTACTGGCATTTGCCTTCAGTATGTCGATTACCACATCTCAGCACCCTGAAAATGCGAGTATTTCAGTTGTTTAGTTAGTGTCAATTCTGTGAGTGTAAAGTCATATTCGCGCTTGTGAACATATATTTTTATATTTCCGGTGTGAGGACGTCAGTAGAGCCAAAGGGAAAATACTACCTGAGGCGTTTATAGTTGCGATCGTACAGCGTCCTGGCATGTGCATTTGGCGAATCGTTCAATTAGGGCAGATCGCCACTGGATCGCCTCGTTACGATCGCCATACGAACGTTCCATACAAGGTCCTATATTTTGCCTCGTAGGTAAGGACTGAAATTATCTCACCCAATTATCACCTTCTCTAGTTCTCACAGAGTTCCCGAAAAGTCTCGTAATTGTGCGCTTCTCACAGCCGACTAAATTGTTTCTAGAACGCTCTCAATACTTCAATATCATACTGTACTTTAATTTCATCGTCCCCTGCATGACTAAGGATGTATCAAGATTCTTTAGAAAAATAATTTGGCAATAGAGACAACTTGAGAAGAAAACGCATTTTATAGCAGATTTTATCTCCCACGTTAGGCCCGCTTTCATACCGATTCGCGACTGCGGACTTATATCTTGCCATTGTCGCACAACTATCTCAATCTCCGAGTCCGCGGAACTATGAACCGCGGCCTAAAGTTTATCGCTCTATTTCTTTCGTGAGAAAAAAACATTGAATGCTCAATCATTAGCGATTCACTCACGGAAGCACGTAACCTTTGACGATACTTGACCCGGCTCGTTTATCCTGGTTAATCTGCTTCTCAATAGCTTTGTTACGAGCGGCCAGTTCCTGATTTTCTTGACTTTGGCACGATCCCATTGCTGCTGGAAAGCTCTCTTTAAACGGAGCTCCTCGAAAAAAAAGCGCTCATGTCTTTGGGGCGACATTGAAAAAAAATTCCCGGCCCTGGCGGTGGCAATTGCCACCACCAAATTCAAACGCTTGCATTGCCGCTGAAACAGCATGGTTTTTCTAATCCTGCTAGAGGTTGCTTCAGTCAACCTTCCCCTTCCTAATTATGAGCTAAACCTGCCATTTCATTGTGTGTTGCTGTTAGTATTACAAGTATTTGTGTACAAGTGCAACAATGAATCGGCGCTGACCCCCGCAACCGGCCAAGTAAGTGTCACTTTTTCTTAAAATACTTGAAGTAGATCCATTCCTAAATCAAAATTATGGGTTATAATGTTATGCAAGATTATAAACTTTTTCGGCATAACTATGAAATTTCGAATTGTTTCGACATAAGCTTAAAAACTAAGAAGGTGGGCCAATTTTCAAAGCTTCTTAGTTTCTTTGTTTGTGATCGAATAGCTTCCAAATTTCGCCATAATGATACCTATATGCTCACAAGTAATAAACAATAGCTAGAAGAAAAATTTCTCCACGGGGAAAAATTCAGGTCCGAAAGGGTTAAAACTTAGGTGACATTAGAATTAAGTTCAGAGGTTAGGAGAAACGCCAGAGAGGCCAAAGGCTGCTCACATCTTCCTCCGAATCTCTGTCCCACCCTAAGGCTTAGTCCTAAGTTCTGTAAGTTCTGCTCTCACATCAACGTCCCCTTAACGACCTGAGCGCCAAGAAATGATATTTTTAAATTCACTGCGGTTCTTAGAAGATTGTGAGGTGTCTTGACTAATTTCAGATTTTGTGATTGGGGCTTTCTCAGGGTCTCAAAAAATGTGCCCATAAAATATGTAATAAAAAAGAAGCATTGAAAACCGGAAATATTTGAATTCATGTAGCTTGTTGCAAGACCTATGGACCGACCTAATACATACAGAGTTGTACTATCACTCTACGCAAAACAAAAAAAAAGAATGTCATCCTTATGGCAGTGACGTTTTTCCATATACGTGTTTAGGACATTGGAAGGACTTTAGGACAGTAATAAGTAATAATAACAGTAATAGGAATAATCTTTTAGCTAGCTCGTGATTCCACATACAGCACAATGCTATATTGGATCCATCCTATGCCTTTTTCCGGGGAGGAGGAGGGAGGGGGTAGGAATTCCATTGAAATTTCTCGCTTTTCAACTAGACTGCTCAAGGGAGGACGTAAGTTATGAGTCACTGTGAAGGTAAAAATACGGTGGAAATAAACAGACTGTTTCAAAGAGAAAAAATATACTGAAGTCTTTATGAATAAGACCTTCTCAAGGTACATTCAGGTACAGAGTCGTTTTGGGGATGTGTAGCGCGGCTAGTGGACGGCACGTGCATTAGTTAACATTGATAGGTTATCTAGAGCTATTAGGTACCGGATATCTTAATGTCGTTTTTTCACCAAGAGTTTTGGACCAGCAATATTTCAGTTCAAAACCCGGGGAGCGAATTAGTTTAATCATAAAATGACTTACTAGGATCCCCTCATCTAACAGTTTGAGTGGAAACCTTGCACGATCCAAGCTCGGAATTTTTTGAGTTAAAAAGGAGAGGCAGGTCGGTTTTGACATCCTCTGATAAATCATCCCTCTTACTTGCTAAAAAGTAAGGCCTGGACAAAGTAAGTATACAGCTGGTTAGCGTAGGGTCTGCATTGCACGACAGAAAAATTAGAACTTATCAGCCCAAGTGGGCAGTTTTTTACGGAGACTTTTTTGCAACATAGGGTCAAAAACGCACCCTTTTTGAGCGCGCGTGAGAGGCAGGTGAGCACATTTATCAGAATATCTTGCGGAATCAAATTCATAGGAATGTTTGCGCATCATCATTCCATCACAGTGAAAGTATCCTACCATTTCAGCACAAGTCTGGTGCAGCCCCTTCTCAGCTGGCTTAACTAGGGCCATCTTTTTGAAGACGATTGCAGGCATCCTTTCAAAAACTTCACTGTCTTTTAAGAAACTGAGGAGAACCGGTGAGCATTCCAAACGGTAGTATTCCCTCTAACAAAAGCAATGTTAGTTTGGTTGGCGGATCTGTAGCTCCCAGCCCGACTTTGATGGCATTTGGTACACACATACGAATTTGCGCAATGAACCCAGGAATTTTCAGAAAAAGGTATAAAAATTGGGGGAGAGATAAATTGTAAAGTAACAATAGGGACTAATAAGCAACATATTTACGTAGTATTAATAAGCAAAAAGAACGTTCTGAGAAATTGATTTTCCATGGTAATCGGCCCCGAAACTTCCTGAACTCAGAAAAACGACATTAAGATATCCGGTACCTAATATTCTTTTCCTTACGAAGCAATGTGATCAATCACGAACTTTAGTTGCTTAGCAGTAATCTATTGGCTATCTTGTAGCGCATTTATGTGTATCAACTAACTAGGGAATGTGACAAGTATCATGGTATGTGGTTTCGGACGCTGATCTCGAATCTTCTTCCCAAATCTGCCAAACGGAACGGAGTTACGGAGGTTTTTTGTTTCCCTCACACAGTTTAACACAGTGAGAAATCGGCCTCAGCAGCAGCGGCTTGTGAACGAAGCAGTGAGCCCCCCCATCGGGTGCTGGTGGCCTAGTGGTTAAGGTGGGGGGCTTGGGATTCGGGGGCAGGGTTCGGATCCGCCGCGTGTTTTCCCGTTTTGCATTTGTTGGATTTTCCTATTTGGCAGTAATGCAAAAAAGCTGATTCTTCACATGGTACAACTCTTACTTGCTTTTGAATGAGTCTGAGGTCGATAACTTCGAAATTTTTCCTAACTTGCATGCCACTACATAAGGTTAAGGCGCGCCAGTATACGGAGCGCGCGCTTCAGCCGTTTTTGAGTGAACGAATGTGAGATCTGTGTTCAAGTAGTCCAATAACTCTGGGGCCGATTTCTAGAAAAATTCGAGATTTTGAATTAACTTCAAAAAAGTGGGCGAGTCACTCATTGATGCTACATATCCATAGCCGGTAGTTCCAGGGTTGACCTATTTTGGACGACGACGGCGACCCTTTAAATTTGAAAATAATAAAATGTGGGTGTTGAAATCATGCGAACAGAAAACCAGACACTGCTTTACACTCTTCAGAAACAAAAAAAACTTATATCGTCTCAAGGCTATATAGGCTTCGATGATAGGCTGATGATGATTGGATACAATACCTCACCCAGCTACAATTCGAAATTTGTCGAAATCTCAAATTTGGCTACAAACTTGTCCCTAGGGGTATTTTAATCTCCGGAACACGAATATCACACTTGTTTGCTGCAAAAACGTCTGCCAAGAGTTCTGTGGGCTCCATGTGCAGTCTTTAGTAAGTACCGCCGAAACTGATTAGAAACTCCTCGCAAAGTCTTTGCACGGGTAACTACAGGCAAGCATTGATCGAGTAAGGTAGTTGGGAGCCTTTTTCAATCATTTTGCAGCGAAGGCAAAAAACCCGCCAGGGAATCGATCCTACGACGTCTCGCACGTGAACCCGGACTACTACCGCTGCACTACTTTCCTTCATAACTCCATTCGGAAAATCGTTTGGCAGATTTGGAAAGCAGATTCGAGATCAGCGTCCAAAAACGCATCCAACGGTGTAGGTCTCTTTACATATGGCCACTTCGACCAATCATCCGTTCCTGGTAAGTAGACGGAACATATAATTATTTTTGGATATATTGTTCTCCTGATAGGCTTTGTTGATACTTTGAGATTAGCAGCTCAGTGGAAAATTATGTCTTAGCACAAATAGGATGCTATTATGCGAGATATGTCACTGAGGTTTTTCATTTACTCTACCCACCCCCTCATCACAGACCGAACAATAGTAAACAACAGCCCCAAAAACAGTGCAAAATGCGTTTCCTTATAACCAACCTCAAAAGCGGTTCTTAGCTCTTCATTAGACGAAACGCGTATCTGAAAATAAACTAAATAGCGGTTTCGTTTTCGGAGTGCGTGCGGACATTCTGAGAAAAAAGGAAAACTGCAATAGAAAAAATAACTGTACAATTCAGCAATAAAAAGCTTCCCTAGACAGGAAGAGTCAGGAATAGAGGCGAGTGTAATCGGTGAGGGTATGCTGAGAAATATGCTTAAAAAACGACTTTAAGAAAACGACTACAATGCAATGTGTGAAGGCGGTTACTCTTGGATACATCGAACTTGAATCTGTCGAATGAGGACCGTTATAAAGTACAACTACATAAATACACTATTGAAATTGAGTTTCATGAGCTCATGCATTTGAAACTAGGCTGCCGTTGTCAACGCTTTATGTACTAATTAGCAAAAAACCATGAGCACCTGTTCCCAATCGAGTAGTTTCGATTTTTCAAAAGGCGTAGGAGGTGAGAAACGGTAGTCACTGGTACGATGAGATGTGAGCGAAACGACATACCTCTACCAAGACTCGAAGCCAACCCTGGCGTCGTGCTTTCCATGCAAAAGAGACTTGTCACACATGTGTGAGTGCTTATTAGCCGTTTTGAATACATTATTCAAAACTGAGATAAAGAGGAGCTCACGACGAAATTACAACAGGGTAGAAATCAAGGTTAACTAGTCAAGGATGACGAAACCTCTAGAAAATGGCACAAAACCTGAGAAATGTCACCCCAGTTGGAGCGAGTCTGGCCGTGCTGAGTTGCCGCGCTGGCTCCCCCGCAGGGTCAACCGTCCGTTGGAAAAGTCCAACGAGGGGAGTCGTATTCGGCCGACGAAAAGGGGGGGTCGTATTCGCAAGGTCGGAGGCAGCGTCAATCCTACACCAACGGGGGTCGTAGTGTGACGCTTTACGCTTTGTGAGTGTTAAGAAAAAAATTTGCCGTTTCTCCCGCCCGGTATTTTGGAGGGAATGGGTGGAGTTGGGCTGTGTCAACTGGTCTCAGAATCAAATACTATAGTAACAGCTTTGATGGTAAGGGTGGTGGTCGTTATTGGTGGA